TGAAGCAGCTCATGCCTGTTTTCCTAATTCTCTCTGGTGTCAGAGTTGGCCGGCAGATCTGCTTAGTCTCATTACCTTGCCAAGTTAACCCGCAGTAAAGTTTAAATATATTTGCCTTCAGTTAGATAACTGCCTATTACCTCTTACAATGCTTACAGTGCTTTTACATTTGGAAAACAGACACTGGAGGTACTGTCAGCAGACAGTAGCAGACAGGTCCCTCGGGGTATGTGGATCTCATTTGTCCTCCCGCCTCGGTCATTCCCTCACAAATACTGCAACTATTTCAACTGAGTTCACTTTTTCACAGGCCAGTCTGAGACGCAGACTGGATTTCCTCAGGTTTAGACAAATGTTCATCTGACAACGATGTCAGCATGATAAAAGGAGCGTGTGAAACTAACTGGAAAGCAGCCGGTCAATAGAATGACACGGGATATGCAATATACTATGAATACACATAATCCATACAGACTGCTCTAAAAGTCATGGAATCGATCACTGAAAGAAGAATGTTGCTCAAGCAGCTAAGAGGAATTGACAATGCAGAACGCTTCGTCATGCACCATAATGACCAAACAACTAAGCGTCCACGGGTCTGCAACTATGTGCATGGTCTCGCTTAAATAAACAAACAAACTATTCATCTATTGAATAGAACCTCCAGCTTCTGGGTTCACTGTGAAGCTCTCATACTTAGGATTTCTATTTGCACCCATTCTGCACTTCTCTTTAACATTCATGGCATCATTTTAGAGAAAATTCATGACTGATTGCTCTAATCAGAGATAAGGGAACATAATGTGAGTATTTCTGGAGAATGCACGACAAGGTGGCAGCCACGATGATTCACTCTGCGCTCAGGCACCCTTCACTGTCTGTTCCTTTGTTGCTCAGTGTTTTCTCACTCATCCCATCACTCAGGCTGGGAAACCACTCAGATATCATTTTGGCAGAATGCCCTTGACATTTTCAGTTTCTCCCCGCTTTTAACAATCCATATTTCTTTCACCAGGCCTAGTCTTCAATAATATATGCCCATTGCATTTTTGTTAAGTGCATTTAAAATCACAACACCCTTTTTTAATTAACTTTTTTTTTTTTTATCTCTGGGTTTTTGGAATTCAGGTGTTTGTGCAGCTTCATCTATAAATGTCTTGATTAAACATGCTGGTTTGTTTTTTACAGCTATTCTTTTATTACTGTGTTCGACTCTTTTAAGAGAGGCAAAACATCTGATGTTACTTTCAGATGACAAATCAGAGAGGCAAAGCATTAAAAGCTCCTGCCAAATGTTGAGGAAGTTCAACAAAAGTCACCCAAAAAGCTTTGACCTGTTGGGCATGGATATGGGACCAATAGAAGGATCCGGTAGTTACATGAGGAGAATGCCAGTGATCTCTAAGATGTGAGCAAACTCTTTGCAATGGCCCTTTGCATTGTTATCAAAGTGTTTCACTTTGTAGTAGTTTCAGTGTTATGGTTGATGATTTTGGAAGATTTTGGCCACTGCCTGCCACCTTCAGCACGATTTTTCAGTTGCCACTGCACTGACTTCCTTCTAATGAATTATTAAAAGTCAAAAAGCTTTTTTAAGAATGCTTAAGGGCAACATTTGCAAGACTGCATAGAAATCCGGCAGCTAACTTCAGGAGATTTGCAGGTTAGGGGAGTGTGTCTGATGCAGAAACAGACGGAGACAGTGAGATGTGTGTCCCCCTTCACTCCTGCAGAGCAGCTGGAATGTGCAGTCCAACTCCAGCACTCTCAGGACAGTTGCTGCAGAATTCACTTTCTGCATGCTTACTGCACTGCAGCTTCCACATTTCTCCACCTCAAACAAGCACTCGCTGGGAAACCCTGCAGAGTAAGGTGAGAGAACCGGGACAAAAGCATTACGCCATCTTGCAATGAGACAGTCTGCAACTATTTTTTTTTCCTCTTTTTATCCCGATTCTATATCTAAACTGTGTGATATTTGGTTATAGTAGCCGAATAAGTGAGGTCAGCTATGATAGGGCAGGAAGCCAAAGAGTGGTGGGTCTGTGCTAAGGCCAGTGTTGTTTCTGATAAGGTAATATATCACCAACCAGTGATGTCCACAGGTTTTCTACTGAATGGACAAAAAATTCAGCAACTCGGTGACACTCTCCAAGCTAAGAGGGTAAAAACATCACAACAGGAATCAAACAGCAGGAGTCAGAAAAATATGCCCCAAAATAACCTTGTATATTTACAAAAAACAAGCAAAAAAAAAGTACTGCGTTGAATACGACAAGTGTTTTTGGAAGTGTAAAGGACCATAGCGGTGTGTGTGTGTGCCAAAGCTGAAAGATAGCACCCAAGTGAGCAAATCCAAAGGAAAAAAAATGCATTAAGTGAAGTGTGTGTGAGTGGGAACACATCTGTGACTGGAAGAGTGCAGATGCAAGCGTATATGCAAAATATGCGACTGGGCGACACAATCTGCGTGTCATTGGCTGGATGGTTTCCAAGCTTAGCGCTGACACACTGACAGAGAAGAGGGCTCATCGCCAACCAGCAAGAGGGCTGATGATTCTACGGAAAAACACTGCTGACTTTTTTATGAACTTCTCTCGGCTTTCTTCCGGCTCGTTTCCACTTTGATGCTGCCTATAAAAACAGCAAAGGGCAATGGAGTAGCAGTAATAGTTCTTTAAGCTTTTTTGGACGACTCAGTGACTGCAAATCATGAGACAAACTCCGCCAATTAAAAAATAGTTAAATAAAATGCAGTTTTGATGCGTCCATGTGAGGTCCAAGCAAACCGTACGTTCAGAGAGTGGAAGTCATGGCCAGTGCTGTGGGTTGCAGCTCTGTCCTTTGAACTGCATGCAGAGCTATTTATAAGCAGATTAATTATGCGGATGCATATGATAATCAGTATGGTGGTGGTCTCACGTAGACAGGAAGGCTGGAAGAGGAAGAGGCATCCTCTTATGCCTCACTGAAATTTAACTTATGGATCTATTCACCAACAGGTGGGTTTTAGGGGACAGTATCCTACTGAAACAGCCAAGACCTTCCTTAGAAAAAAAATAAAGGTCACTTTCACATATGTGCAACTTATCCATATCATTATCTCAGCCCGAAATTATCAGTGTGCTCCATAGTGTCTCTCTTCTATAGTCTGAGGGACTCGTGCATTCTTTCATTCCTCTTTAGAATAAAATGATTCAATTTTCAAGTTGATTTTGTCATCCAGCCAACCAGGTGATCACATAAGGAAAAAGAAATAGCTCTGCTGCTATTTGATAAATGATGTTGAACATTTCTTCAAACACCATGTTGCAAAGAGGTAGTTCATATTACTCTCTGATGGGAAAATGACACAGTCCAAAATCCACGGTGTGACATTATTATGAAACCATTGCAAAGCTTTCTAGGTTGGATTCGTTTTCATGAGGCTTCATTCTAAGTTGCTGATCTCCTTGTTCCTTGTTCTTCTCTGATTCCCTACACCGAGACACTGTCACCTGCAGATAAGACCATAATTATTCATTTAACATTGCGACTTCAAAGAGTTGTTACATTCCTTTGAGGCTCGCTGTCTAACACTGGCTGCATAAGCACCACCGGTTGAGAAATGTCTGTATCAATAACTTATTTTCCAATCGTTTCCTCCGTGACACACACCTGAACCTGCCCATTTGCTCCCTCTCATGTTTTTCTTGTTGAAGGCAGCTCTCCAGCCTGATTGGACAGATGCTTCAGCACCTGCACCAATCAAATTCATACACTGACATTAACGATATCGGGGCGCTGTTGATTGCTTGACAGTGTTTTCTGTTATGAGGGCGGGCCTGAACATGTTCACAATTCATTTTCACTACGTCTCCCAGCAGATCTTATCACTCAGTAAATGCTCTTATCGTCAGCATACGGCCCACATCTCAAACGGAGATGACACACAGACTGAAACATTACGGGGCCGATCATTTCCAGACGAAGCATGAATGCCTCCCTGTTAACGAACTACATGCATCAAACCGAGGTCAGCGAGCGCTAAGAATAACTAAATGGACTAAAAATCACACTGTTCCGCACTAATCTTCTCTCAGATATGGTGTTAGTCAGATTACCACCATCCTCCTTTCCACCATTTTTCCACACGATCCCCTCTTTCTCAGGCAGAAACCAGGTGGAGAGGGAGAGAAGTGAAGGTCAGACACCAACAGGCGCTCTCTTCTTCCCTCGATCAATCTTATCAGTTTCCCTCTCATTGTCACCTCCCATTTTTAGTCCCCCTCTGGCCAATTTGCATTTACCTGGTATTCGCCCTTCTCTCTCCCTTTGTACCGTTTATCACCCCATTCCCCTCCTCTTCTCGTTTCCTCCGGGTCTGTTCCCCTTGCCATTTTCACGTGCTTTCCCTCTATTTCCCAATTTCAGTCACTTTGGTCAAACACACACATAAACACTGATATGACATCACATACACACCCACACAGGCAACGCATCAGTCTCGGTCTCAAGTTCACGCTGTGAAATGCACATGGACATAAAAATACATGCAATCTTCACTACTACACACGCTGAATTGGATATGCCTCTCTGCACCAGATGGGTCTGAGGAATGGTTCCAGTTGATAAATAATGCATCATCTACCTGTGTTAAAGTGAATCGATGCCTGCTTGTCATAATAAATGTTTTAATGGACTTGAGTGACAGATCTAGGGCACAGACGATGGTAACTCCTTGATAGTCTGCTTGTTTGTCTTCTCACTGGCTGCATTCACAATCCTCTTGGATCTATTTCCCTGTTCTTTAAGCTCTTCCATCAAATTTTACTTTGGGGTTTTTTCCCGCCACGTTGGCTGGAATCTTATCTTTCAAGCTTGATTCCTTTTCTTAACTTGCTGTCCTTTCAATCCACTGACCTCTGTTTATCTTTCTCTTTTATGAATATTTAACTCTTATTAATTTTGCCGCCCTTTCAATCCACTGACCTCTGTTTATCTTTCTCTTTTATGAATATTTAACTCTTGCCCCGTAAGTGGCCCCTTAGTTTGGCTGGGTGCCGCTCGCCTATGAGCTGTTCAGGACACAGAGGGGCAGCCAGAAATACTTTCCCCAACAGAGGAGCCACAGCACCAGAAACTCTGCCAGACCTGAGCCAAGCAGGCCACTTACATCCTGTGTGTTTGGAGGGGGTGATTGTCAAAAAAACACGAGGGTAGCTACAGCAGGTCATTTGACAAGAGAAGACACATTATCAATGCCAGGAAGCGCTCATGGAGAGTAAGCTGGAGAGAAACACCGTGTAAGCATGAATACTGATTATACCGCTAATTATATTACATTAAAAAAGGTCACAGGCTTTGATGTTAGGTTGTCATATTTACAGACACTTTTTTTTAGAGGGTCTGTCAATTTTTTTCCAAATTCAAGAAAAGTCTATTTCTGAATCCACTTCATTGTTAATCCTACAAACACTAAACAAAGGGGATTTTTAAAAATGTCTTCCTGTCTTCTGGAATGTGAGGAAGGATATCTGCTCAGGAAAAGTTGGTATAGAACGATTATCAGTGTGTTACACCACGCATCCTGTAATTTGGGATTCAATCAGGATTCTGAGTCCATTATTCTTGATATCTAAAGCTGCTCAACAGTCTGTTTCCGTCCTTGTCTGATTCTCCTCCTCATAAAAATCTTGCAGGAGATTTTCTATTTGTGACGGATCTGGACTGCAGGGAAGCGCACACGCTTTGTTTCCCTGAGGTCACGCAGAGGGAGGTCTCACCTTGTTTTGCTCCGATAACTGCGGACCTCCGGGAAACGGGCATTGCTTTGATGGCTGCGTATGTCTCTCAAACATTCCAGCTGTCAACCAATTATACTTAGTACAAATGCTGGTCCTTCTGGCTATGGGCACTGATGTCCCCCCTATAAAATCAAAACACGCTGGCTCTCTCTGATAACAGCACAAATAGTCTCTCTTATGTTTGGCTCCTGGACCTGATAAGCTGTTTTCTCAAAGCGGCTGAAACATGAACTCATCTGTCTACTTTAATTTGGTCCTTTCTTTAGGTCCGGAGTTAATCTGCATTTCTGGGTAGAGGGGATGTGGGGCTCCTCGCCTAATGCAAATTTGATCTTTTGTTTCTGGATGCGGCGGTGTACTGTTGGGTGAAAATGGTTTTCCAAAAAGACCCCATGTAGCTACATCAGTCACAATGACACGCCTGTCCTTCAGGCAGCGCTGCCATAGGGATCCAAGGTCTCCTCCCCTGTCCTTTTATCTCCCAAGATTTCCCCAAGCTCCTTGAATTTTTTTCACGTTGCGCACAAGAGATATTAAGGGCACTGGGCTCGGTGAAGTTTCAAAACCGAGAGATGTTTACTTTGCCTTACTGATGATTCCACAAAAGAGCTTTTACCTAAAATGGCGAGCTGCGATCAAGTTTTGCTTCGGAAGGCTAAACCCCTTGTTGGATGCTCTTTATTTAAACAACCCTGGTGCCTTTCTCTGTCATTAAATGTAAGCAGCTTCACACAATCCAGACATGAGTTACTGTTGCATTAGTCAAACCTCTCTGAAAGGGAGTGTTGTATCAATGAGCCAAGGTCACACACAATGCTGCTTCTACTACTACACACACCACATTGCCATTGTTAATACTGTGTGTGTTTCAACCTTAAACAACTTAACACACACTGTCGCTTTTTCTGCTGAATAGGGCCGAACCAGATGCCCCCCAAAGCAAAGTCGCTTCTTTAACAAATCAACTAATGAAACACTGACCAACAACATCCATTCGTGTGGCTGCATAACACTACAAAAATCATTCAAAATGAAACCACTTCACCTAATCCCTAGCTCTGCAATTCTAATTCATCCACTTATCTGCTTTCTCCCTACTACACTTATCTGTAGTTCTTTGTAGTTACTTAAGATTATGGAGGGTGGACAGAGAATTGCAGCCTATCCGGTGTGTGTGTGTGTGTGTGTGTGTGTGTGTGTGTGTGTGTGTGTGTG